AACCCCAGGTATTGTTCAGCACTTTCACTGCTATCCCGTTTCTCACTGACATACAGATAGTAGGGCTTTTTACAGTCTGGTAAGCCGAGGGCAAGGGCTTGCATTAAGGACGTCTTAATGTCCTGGAATGCTTGGTCTTGTTTTTTTTCCCATAGGAACGGTTCCTTCTCTCCCCCCTTCTCTCCCCCCTTTGTAGATTCATAGAGGGGCTTAGCTTTTGTGGCAAAGTCTGGTATCCAGATCTGACAGAATCCGGCTGCTCCCAGGAATTCACGCACTTAATGTCTGCTTATTGGTGTAGGGATTTCGAAAACAGTCTCTTCTCTGCCCTTTTGATACTCTGAATCCCAGGTATTTTACAGTCTCTTGGCATAATTGAGCCTTTTTCCTGGATACCTTATAACCTGCCCTCCACAGTAGTTTGCAACAGTTTATTTGTAGCTTGGAGGCACTCTTCCTTTTTAGCCGCAATCAGAAGGTCATCCACATATTGAAGAAGGACCCTACTCTCATGGTCTGACCTGAAGGACTTTAGGTCTTGGGTTAGGGCCGCTCCGAATAGGGGTGGGGAGTTTTTGAACCCCTGGGGTAAACGTGTCCAGGTCAGTTGTCCCTTAACCCCGATGTCTGGGTCTTTCCATTGAAAGGCAAAGATGCTCTCTGACTATTCAGCCACTCTGAGGCAGAAAAAGGCATCTTTCAGTTCCAGAACTGTGAAATGGGTGGCTTCTCTAGGTATTAGCCCTAATAAATTGTACGGGTTCGGGACCACTGGATGAATGGTCACCACAGCCTGATTGACAACTCTTAAGTCTTGAAACGGGTGATAGTCCGCTGTTCTGTACTGGGAGTAGGGGAGTGTTCCAGGGTGACTGGCAGGGCTTTAAGATCCCAAACGGTAGGAATTTGTCCAGATACTTCTGAATCCCTGCTAGAGCTTTGCGGGGAACTGGGTACTGTCTCAGGCTGACCAGGGTGGCTCCGGGCTTTAGTTCAATAAGGACCAGTGGAATATGTCTAGTTAATCCTGGTGGGTTATCCTCTGCCCAAACTCCTGGGATATGTTGTAGTCCTACTGGGAAGGGGAGTGGATCTTCTATCAGAGTGAATATTCGCTATTCCTCCTCTTTTGGCATGTTGAGGACCATAATGGGGGTCTCAGAGGGATGGGGGAGTTGTAGGACAGCTTGTCCGTCAGATTTAAAGTATATGTGTTCTCTGAGTTTAGCAAGTAAGTCTCTGCCCAGCAAGGGAATAGGACAATGTGGCATATACAGAAACCTATGTAGGACTTCATGTCCACAGAGGTTGCAAAGTCTTTTTGTCAAAAAAGGTCTTTTAATTTTATTTCATGTGGCTCCCACAATAGTAATTTGTTTGTCAGCGATGGGCGCTATCTGTTGAGTAACTACAGAAAATTGCGCACCAGTATCCACCATTAGTGAGGTATGGTGGCCCCCTATTGTAGCAGTGACCATGGGCTCCCGGGGACCTATCGGGATGGAGCCAGTCGGTCTCAGTATTGATCCTCATCTGGATACACAGAGCCTGCTAGCCCCACAAAGTCAGCATATTTGTCTTCTTGCCTGTTCCTTTCATATTGTCCGTTATGAACTCGTCCCCCTCGTGATTCCCTTCTCATAGGGTACAGTTCTCACCTCCCAGATCCTCGTTGGGAATACTCTTTTCTCCAATGCCCCTCCTGTTTGCAATATGCACACTGATCCCAACCTCTGTACATAATTTCCTCTTCCCCTTCTTAGTCTACTTTCATCTAAATGTTCCCTGGTTCCTCTAGGTTTCTCTGCCAGAGCCTCTGCTAACATGTCCACCTTTTTCTTCATTCTCCGATATTCTTCTCTCCCTGTTTCTAGATCCCGATTGACAAACACTTTTGTAGCTATTTCTAACAGCTGTGAAATGTTCATGCCAGCAAATCCTTCTTGCTTTTGCAGCTTCCTCTTAATATCCCTCGCAGGGGCGGACTAACAACTCATGGGGCCACCGGGCAATAGGGGATCATGGGGCCCCTGTGTCCTTGCCCAAACTCAAAAAAGCCTATGAAAAAGGTACCAGGGGCATCTCATGGGGCCCCCTACTGACCCCCGGGCCCTCGGGCAGTGCCCGAGTTTCCAAATGGTCAGTCCGCCCCTGATCCCTCGTGGATTGACTAATAAAAGCAGTGTTATGTAACATCTGATTGTCAGTTGCTTCAGGGTCAAACGGGGTGTATAATCTAAAAGCTTGACATAGTCTCTCATAAAACTGTCCTGGGCTTTCATTGGGCTGTTGAAGAACTTCTGTCATCTTGCTAAGATTTGTGGGCTTCTTGCCAGCTGTTTTCAACCTCTCTATAATAGCTGTCTGATAAAGTTCAAGCTTTCCCATATCCCTCACATTATTTGGATCCCCTGGGGATCGGTTTTTGCAAAATGTTCCTCCACCCAGGTCTGGGAGTCAAATCTAAGTTTTGCCAAATCTTTAAGATACTTGAGAGCTGCCTGTGTTATCCTGTGTCTTTCTTCTGTGTTAAAGAGAGTCAGTAGAAGTTGCTGGCAGTCAGGCCAAGTGGGGTTATGCGTCTGAATTATTGAGCGGAGTAAGTTTGTCACAGCCTGTGGTTTCTTACTATATGAGGGGTTATGGGTCTTCCAGATCAGTAAATCAGTTGTGGTGAAGGGAGTGTAGACAAGAGTCTGGTGGTCCCCTATTGATTGTTCCCTTAGAGGCATTAGCATGGGTGGATTGAAGGGATTGAAGAATGGGGCAAGAGTCCAATTTCACTGGAGTCCTTCGGGGTGGAAGTGAACAACTGATCTGTGCACCCATTAGTTGTTGCTGTGTCCCCAATTTTCATCCTACTGGTATTTCTGAGAGTGTCACGACTAGAGGTGTCAGTTTTCAATATGTTTTAGTAAGATTTGGCATTAATGAGCTGCTCGCATCTACTTTGGGAAGTAGTTCTGAGTTAAATTCCAACTGTCTATGCAGAGAGGTGTCAGAGTCTGTCCCTCGTTCACCCATGGTATGTCCCTGTACATATGGAGGAGGCAGATCTGTCTCCTCAGGTTGAGAAAAAATACGCTTGGCACTGTTAGTCTGGGGTTTTACCTTTGTCATAACCATAATTCTACACTGTTCTTCCCTGGCTTTATGTCAGGGTCTTCCTCTGTCACCCTACTCCAACAGACTATATACGGAATCTGGTCATGTTTCTGTGAATAAGACGTAATATACAGGTGAAACTCAAAAAATTAGAAAAGGGTTCCTGAGCCTTTAAATGGTCTCTCAGTCTGGTTCAGTAGGAATCACAATCATGGGAAAGACTGCTGACCTGACAGTTGTGCAGAAAACCATCATTGACACCCTCCATAAGGAGGGAAAGCCTCAAAAGGTAATTGCAAAAGAAGTTGGAAATTTTTTTATTTGCAAAAACTTGCAACCAGCAACAATTTTTATACAAAAATATCAAGAATAAATAAGTAAACATCCTACTTGGTAACAAACAAAGGAAAAAGAATGGATTACCCTCCTATAATAATACCCATAACAGACAAAGAAAAACCTGATCATTAGGACCAGAACATATAATTTTTACCTACTTAAGGATATGGTCTTTATAAACCACCATTTTTACAGGAAAAAGTAAACAAGACAACAAAGGAAGGCTTTAACAGCCTACCTATTATCCTTCTATGCATGCTTTCCACAGCTTTTAGCCCTTTACAGGGGAAGACACACTTCTTTCAAGCATACCGGCCTTTCTGTCCTACCAACCTATACCCACAACTTACCCCTTACCAGGGGAAGCCTTATACATTATAAATTAGCCTCTATGGCTTCTAGAAAACATAACAAAAAACCTAATACATTACCCAACGAAGGTTAAGAAACCTAGACCATCAGGTATGTGTAGCCATCTTTCAGAAAGTAACCTACCGACAAAAATCTAGGGGGGGTGAAAAAGGAGAAAACACAGGACAGCAACCTCACAAAGAGAGCAACAAACAGCCGCTACAGACCTGATAATCCTCCACACCTTTATCCAGACCCTTCGCCGCAGCCCTGTCTTTCTCAAGACCCAGAATTTTCCCAACCTCACCAAGGATGTCACGCACCACCACCTGGACACGAAGGACCTTCTGCCGCAAGGAGACCTGACACCGTGCATTCCACGTGTAAAAACGGACAACTAGACAAACTAGAAAAAGTGTGTTTAAATCATACCCAGTATGACTTTCTAATTCCCCCATATACCCACTCTGCATAAGACATGCAGGGCAGGAAGGGGATGTCTAGAGCCCTCCCCACCTCTTTGTACACCTCTACATTGAAGGGACACCGAAGCAAGAAGTGGTCCATACTTTCCACTTCACCCCCACACTCCGACCTCGGACAACCACGGTCATCCAGAGAACGGTGCTTCAAGTTTCCCCTCACATAGAGCCTGCCATTGAACGCAAGCCAGGCCTGGTCCCTAAATTTTAAGGGAATCCTTTCCATATTTAATAAAGACAGACCCTCCCTCAAGATATGGCCCAGGCAATCCTTCAAGGCCAGCGGTGCCTGAAACGCAGAGGCCACAATCCTCTCCCTTAGGAGCCTCCCAGGGAGTGACCTGACCTCCTCCGCAGTCACACACCACCGCCTAAGAATCTTCAGACACGGGGTGACATAAGCCGAGAGTTTACCATGCTTGACCCGCAAGCTTCTCACCGGCCCGCCACTCTTCCAGCAGCCCAGAAAAGGTCTAAACCAAACCTGGAAAAGACTTACCAATGCACGCGGGTTCTCTTTTAGCATACTACCAATATTTTGCTTTATAAACATCAAAGAGAAAAAAACTATCGGGGTTGACCATACCTAGGCCACCCTCCCGCCTGGATCAGTAAGTCACATTCCGCTTCACAAGGTTCAGTCTGTTCCCCCATAACAGCTGGAAGAAACAACTGTAAACTCTCATATAGAGAGATTCTGGCAAGAGACAGACGAAAACTGACCTACAAGAAAATGGGGACCAAGTAGGTTTTAATTAGGTTGACCCTTTCCCTTAGGGACAACCGCCAACCCTTCCAGCATCTCACTTTCACATCGGCATCCGACAACCTGTATTCCCAATTTGTTTTACTGTAATCATCAGGTCCAAATTCGATGCCTAGCACTTTGATCTTCTGACGGGGCTCTGGGAAGGCATCCAGGAGTTCAAAACCCTCACCTTCCCTGCCCATCCAGAAAACTTCACATTTGTCGTGATTAATCTTGGAGCCTGATGCCTCCGCATACTGCTCCATCACTGAGACCACCTCCTGTGCCTCACTAGTCCCAGAGATGAAGACAGACACATCATCAGCATAGGCCACGAGCCTCAAAGGTGACTCACCAGTAGTGCCCCCCGACACCCCGCCCAACACCCCACCATCTAGCCTCCTGACGAAGGGGTTGATGGCAAAGGCATAAAGCAAAGGGCTCAGCGGACACCCCTGGCGCACCCCTGAGCCAACCCCAAGGGGCCGCCCAACCCAACCATTGACCAACATGAAGCTCTCAGCCCCTTTATACAGTGTCTGCAGCCATCCAATGAACCTCTCCCTCCAGGCCATACCTGCCAAGGAGATGCCAGAGGTACTCGTGATCAACCCGGTCAAAAGCCTTAGCCTGATCCAACGCCAGCAAGTACTTCCCACAACCATCAGCCCTGCACCGCTCCATAGCCTCCTGGACAGCTAACAGCGCTGAAAAGGTGCTCCTGCCCTGGACCGAACAGTGCTGCTGCTCCGAAAGTAGACCGTCTGCCACTGACGACAGGCGCCAGAAAAGAATCTTGGCCAGAATCTTTCTATCGACATTGAGCAGGCTAATGGGGCGCCAATTCTCAATCATCGAAGAGTCCTTACCTTTTGACAGCAAAATCACGCAATGAGCAATTTCCTCATGGAGGGAGGAAGTGAACCCTCCTCTAAACAGCAATTAAAAAACCTCCGCTAGGTGAGGTGCCAAGCGGGATTTAAAGGTCTTAAAAAATTCAGCTGTTAAACTGTCTGGCCCTGGCGTCTTCTTAATGGCCAAACTATCTATCGCTTTGGCAACCTCTTCAGCTGTGATCTTACCTCAAAAATTCGATTCGGCTGATTCGGCGAATTCCAGTGTGAAATTCGATTCGATGCGAATTTCTTCGCTACGAAGATGACTTATAAAAAGGGTTTCTAGGCTTCAGAGAGCCTTTAAATTAGTGCAGAACACTGTACCTTTAATTTAAATGCCCTTGGAGATGAGGAAAGAGAAGGAGAAGGAGAAGGAAGAAGGAAAGGATGAGAAGAAGGAGAAGGATGAGAGAAGAAGGAGGAGGAAGAAGGATGAGAAGAAGGAGAAAGGATGAAAGAAGGAGAAGGATGAAGAGAAGGAGAAGGATGAGAAGAAGGAAGGATGAGAGAAGGAGAAGGAGAAAGATGAGAGAAGGAGAAGGATGAGAAGAAGGAGAAGGAGAAGGATGAGAAGAAGGAGAAGGAGAGAAGGATGAGAAGAAGGAGGAGAAGGATGAGAAGAAGGAGAAGGAGAAGGATGAAGAAGGAGAAGGATGAGGAGAAGGAGAAGGATGAGGAGAAGGAGAAGAAGGAGAAGGATGAGAAGAAGAGAAGGGAATGAGAAAGAAGGAGAAGGATGAGAAGAAGGAGAGAAGGATGAGAAGAAGGAGAAGGATGAGAAGAAGGAGAAGGATGAAGGAGAAGGAGAAGGATGAGAAGAAGGAAGAAGAGAAGGAGAATGATGAGAAGAAGGAGAAGGAGAAGGATGAGAAGGAAGGAGAAGGAGAAGGATGAGAAGAAAGAGAAGGAGAAGGATGAGAAGAAGTAGAAGGATGAGAAGAAGGAGAAGGAGAATGAGAGAAGGATGAGAAGTAAGGAGAAGGATGAGAAGAAGGAGAAGGATGAGAAGGATGAGAGAAGGAGAAGGATGAGAAGAAGGAGAAGGAGAAGGATGAGAAGAAGGAGAAGGAGAAGATGAGAGAGAGGAGAAGGAAGGATGAGAAGAAGGAGAAGGATGAGAAGAAGGATGAGAAGAAAGAAGGATGAGAAGAGGAGAAGGATGAGAAGAAGGACAGTTTCTGTGACAGAGAAGGATCTATTTCTGACAGTTCTGGGACATTCACTCCATACAGCTGTTTCAACCGCTGTATGGAGGGAATGTCAAGAACTGTCAGAAATAGACTATTAATGACAGTTCTGGGACTGTCCTTCCATGCAGCGGTTGAAACATTGTATGATATTTGTTTCCATAAATGGATCCATTTATGGAAACAAATAGATACAATGTTTCAACCGCTGTATGGAAGGACAGTCCCAGAAACTGTCATTAATAGGATGAAAATAAGAATAATTCCAAGCCGGCAAAAAGTGTATCTGCAGCGCTCCTCTAAGTGTATTTGCAGAATGTCATTTATGGAAAAAAAAAATAGATACAATGTTTCAACCGCTGTATGGAAGGACAGTCCCAGAACTGTCATATAAATAGTCTATTTCTGACAGTTCTGGGACATTCACTCCATACAGCTGTTTCAACCGCTGTATGGAGGGAATGTCATAGAACTGTCAGAAATAGACTATTAATGACAGTTCTGGGACTGTCCTTCCATACAGCGGTTGAAACATTGTATGTATTTGTTTCCATAAATGGATCCATTTATGGAAACAAATACATACAATGTTTCAACCGCTGTATGGAAGGACAGTCCCAGAACTGTCATAAATAGTCTATTTCTGACAGTTCTATGACATTCCCTCCATACAGCGGTTGAAACAGCTGTATGGAGTGAATGTCCCAGAACTGTCAGAAATAGACTATTTATGACAGTTCTGGGACATTCACTCCATACAGCGGTTGAAACATTGTATCTATTTTTTTCCATAAATGACATTCTGCAGATACACTTAGAGGAGCGCTGCTAAGAATAATTCCAAGCCGGCAAAAAGTGTATCTGCAGCGCTCCTCTAAGTGTATCTGCAGAATGTCATTTATGGAAAAAAATAGATACAATGTTTCAACCGCTGTATGGAGTGAATGTCCCAGAACTGTCATAAATAGTCTATTTCTGACAGTTCTGGGACATTCACTCCATACAGCATGCTGTTTCAAACCGCTGTATGGAGGGAATGTCATAGAACTGTCAGAAATAGACTATTTATGACAGTTCTGGGACTGTCCTTCCATACATGTTGAAACATTGTATCTATTTGTTTCCATAAATAGATCCATTTATGGAACACAAATTACATACAATGTTTCAACCGCTGTATGGAAGGAATGTCCCAGAACTGTCATTAATAGTCTATTTCTGACAGTTCTGGGACATTCCCTCCATACAGCGGTTTTTCCGGCAAAAAGTGTATGTGCAGAGTTCCTCTATTCTGCAGATACACTTAGAGGAGCTCTGCAGGAGCTCTGCACATACACTTTTTGCCGGCTTGGAATTATTCTTATTTTCATCCTACTTCTTCTTCTTCTTCTTCTTCTTCTTCTTCATCCTCATCATCCTCATCCTCTTCTTCTTCTTCTGAGGATGATGAGGATGAAGAAGAAGAAGAAGAAGTAGGATGAAAATAAGATTAATTCCAAGCCGGCAAAAAGTGTATGTGCAGAGCTCCTCTAAGTGTATCTGCAGCTCCTCTAAGTGTATCTGCAGAATAGAGGAACTCTGCACATACACTTTTTGCCGGCTTGCAATTATTCTTATTTTCATCCTACTTCTTCTTCTTCTTCTTCTTCTTCTTCATCTCTCCTCTTCTTCTTCTTCTGAGGATGAGGATAAAGAAGAAGAAGAAGAAGAAGTAGGATGAAAATAAGATTAATTCCAAACAGGCAAAAAGTGTATGTGCTGCAGAGCTCCTCTAAGTGTATCTGCAGAATAGAGGAACTCTGCACATACACTTTTTGCCGGCTTGGAATTATTCTTATTTTCATCCTACTGCTTCTTCTTCTTCTTCATCCTCATCCTCATCCTCAGAAGAAGAGGATGAGGATGAGGATGAAGAAGAAGAAGAAGAAGAAGAAGTAGGATGAAAAGAAGAATAATTCCAAGCCGGCAAAAAGTGTATGTGCAGAGTTCCTCTATTTCTGACAGTTCTCTCACAGCTTCTTCACATGTACAGCGGTTGAAACATCTGTATCCTAAATGGAAACTAATAGATACAAATTGTATCTATTAGTTTCCATTTAGGATACAGATGTTTCAACCGCTGTACATGTGAAGAAGCTGTGAGAGAACTGTCAGAAATATTCCTCTATTTCTGACAGTTCTCTCACAGCTTCTTCACATGAACAGTGGTTGAAACATCTGTATCCTAAATGTAAACTAATAGATACAAATGTTTCAACCGCTAAACATGTGTTCCTTCTGTCAGAGAACTGTCAGAAATAGCGGAGCTCACTGCAGGGACACTTTGCCGGCTGATCGGGAAATGTTCGATTCGCGCACCCGAAGTAGGCAAAATTTCGGTTTCGCTGCGAATCGAATATTTCCTGAAATTCGACTCGAATTCCGGTTCGCTCCTGGTTCGATTCGCTCATCTCTACCCGTAATCCCTCTCCAGAACCAAAGAGGCATGCCGATCATACTGATGCTTCTTTAAGAGCAGCTTAACCTCTGAGATTGCCCCAGAATCTCCACCCTCAGAGTCAAGCTTCCTCCGTAACTGCTAATAGGCAATATATCTCTCAAGTTGTTTTCTCTTACCTAGGGCCTTGAAAAACCTGCCGCCGATCTGCACTTTGGTAAGCTCCCACCACTCCAACTTACTGCCACAAAAATCCAGGATGGTCTCCTGAGCCTGAAGAAAATCCTCAAAGGATCGTTTCACCTCTTCGTCCTCTAGCAGAGCCGAATTCATCCTCCAGACACCCCTTCCCTCAGCAGAGTATCTGAAGCATTCAAAGTCCAAGTTACTAAAAGATGGTCGGAAAACTCCACCGCCTGACACTCAGGTGCCGAGAAGGCAGAGTCCCCCTTCAAAAAAAACCTATCTATCCTGCTCTCACTTCTACCTCTCCTATATGTGAACCCCGTGCTGTCCGGGCTACACTTAATTAAGGCGTCCTCTAGACCTGCTTCCCTATCGCATTTAGGAAAACGCTGTCATATCCCAGCCTGTCGTTGGAGCCTTTCCTGTCTTTTGGGCCTAGTGATGGTCTTAAAATCACCTCCAAAGACAACCTGCCGGGACGTAAAAAGAAATGGCTTAATCTTTGTAAAAAGGAATTTCCTGTCCCACTTTGACTGGGGACCATATACATTAATTAAACGCAGTTCTTGCCCTTTCACAAGGACAACCACGACCAAACACCTTCCAGTCTCCACCTCAAGAACCCGCCGGCACGTTACCATGCCGGAAAAAAGTACCGCAACTCTGCTTTAAGGCTCAGCCGCAAGAGACCAAAAAGAGGGGCCACACCTCCACTCTCTTTTTGCCAGATGTAAATCGGCCAGGCAATTAAGCCGGGTCTCCTGCAAAAACAAAACATCAGCTCCAATCCCGCTGAGCAAAAATAAAGCTGTACTACGAGCTCTTACAGATTTGATGCTGGCAACATTAATGGTTGCCACCTTTACCAGAGCGGGAACTGCCATTAAGATGCTTGAGATGGTCATTTCTTAACCTTTGTTTTCCCAACCTTAGAAGGGGGCCTCGCCCTCTTGAGAGAG